CATGCCCACCATGTGCATGTCCAGCCTATCTTTGAACACTCTCACCAATGGGGCCTCAACCACCTCTCATGGAAGCCCATTCCACACCCTCGGGGTCCTGACTGCCAGGAAGTGCTTCCTGGCATCCAAATGGAACCTTGGCTCCCTGAGCTTAGCTCCGTTGGAGCGCGTCCTGCCTTCCTCTGCAGGAGAGAACAGGTCTCTACCAATCTCCATGTGACATCCCCTCACATACCTGTATGTCGCCAACATATCCCCTCTGAGTCTCCTCTTCTCCAGGCTGAAGAATACTTAGCTACTCAGAAGTTAGTCCCAGTGACTGGAGTGAGGCTTACTACCATGTCAATGTGCATAGAACTGTGACATATGGACCTAGTGATTTCTAATACTTCTTATCTGGAATTGGCCACTTATAGGTCTCAGGTTTATTAAAACCTGAGAGTCTATTGAAGGAGTCTTTATTGAGATTTATAGTGACATGACCTGCACTATATTATGGCTCCAATCAATATTTTTGCTCAACTTCAAATGGCTGGATCTGCTTCAGGCTTGGCAATCTGTTAAATGTATCAGCAATTTTATATTGGTTACACAATGAGATATAATAGGCACAGAATAAAATTATGTGTGAACAAGGTATATATGCTTTTCTTTTCAGGTCATTAATGTTAATGTAGAACATACACGTTTTTCTATTTAAGACTGCACATAGGTCAGACCAGAACTTGCATTTTAGCTTCTTAAAAGTTTCTGTCCTTCATTGTGGAAGAGAAAATAATTAAAAGAAGGGATAATAGAAAAACTGTTGCATGGGATCAGGAGTCAATTCCCCTTCTAGCCAAACATGGGCCCAGCAGAGGATGGGGCAAGTGTGAAGGCAAATTTCTCTTTCTTCCTGCCACCTGTGGTTTGCCTGAGTGTGAAATCATTAAGAAAACAAGACCAGTTTTCAAAATGGCGGGCACCCTGAATGTGCTGTAGGCATATAGAGGCTATTGTGCTTTTCCAGAAGCTTCCCTATCAGGTGTGTGTTGGAGAAACCACCAGTTTCCTGTAAGTCAGCACAGAGATTCTCTCATTTTCTCCTTCTCAGAATCCCATGAGGTAGACTAGGTTGGAGACCATAACCAGCCCATAGTCACCTATTACACTGTATGGCTGGGGCTGATGGGAGTTGTCTGCAGAAGTTGTAAGCCCCCTGTGGATTCCCCCCCAGCTTGTGCTCTGTGGGAACTGAGCCCCACATGTTGCATACTCCAGGCAACTGGGTTGAATGGGCTACTGTGAGGGCTTTTTCAACATATGAAACCTCATATGAGCCTCTTTATTTATATATATATGTGTGTGTGTGTGTGTGTGTGTGTGTGTGTGTGTAAAAGAAACATGTATTTCTGTTTCTCAGCATGAATCTGTCTCACCTGATCCATTCTATCTACATGATGAGGTAAGATTTAATAGAAATATTTCATTAATGTGACTCTTCCAAGGATTAAGTCTTCAAAAATTAATAAAAGAAGAGCATTTTGAATTAGGAAGGTGACTTTGTGGACTGAGAAAATTATTAAAACACTGGTTTATAATATCACTTCCCATTTTTTTGCTGAAGAGAAACTTCTCATTAAAAGTCAATGCAAAAGAGAAAAAGCGCAGTATATTAATCATGGCATAATCAGATTTAGGTTAGGCTGGTATGTCTATTTACTCCTGGTATGCCCACCAAATGGTGGGAATGTATGTAAAGCAGATGTACTGGTTTCTACTTACTTAATTCCGGTTCTTAATTCCTGGGTCCCAGGTCTGTTAAGCAGTGCCAGCACCGGATTTTAGAGGCTCCTTAGGCAGTGGGTTTCCTCCCTAAGTGAGTCTACCTCTTCACCGCTCTTGTCACACAGTGCTATTGCTCCTTCTCATCATTGCTCCCACTCAACAGGCAGGTAGACAATGAATAAATTGGAGTCTGCTGCTTTTCTTTCCCACCACCATCACTGACAGACAAGCAGGTTACAAGGGTGAGAAACAGAAGGGGAAGCAACATGTCAGGGTGCCCTCACTGAGCGGTGGGCCCTCGCAGGTGCCCAGCCATGCCTACCCGGCACTGCTCCTGCTCTTAAGCATGCAAGTCTTCTCTCTTAGCCTTAGTGTGAAGCATCATGGTTGCTAGGTACATAGATGGGCATAGAATAAAGCAGGGAGTCAGTGCAATGATTCTTGCTATCACAAAGACACCAATGGTTTCTTAAAATTGAGGGATGCGATGATATTCCTCACTTTAACTTGTAAGGTGGATACCAGTCTCTTTCCCAGAGGAAATATCATATGTTCCCCAAACAAAGGCTGCTGCCTTCCTCTCCCTCAGCAAGGATAAGTTTCCAATCAACTTCTGCAAAATCATTTGGGAGAAGACAAGCAGGCCCCGAGCTGTGATGTGTGATATCAACAGAAGATTCTACATGAAGTGCTATTTCCAGATTGTGAGGTTTTTGCAATCTACACATTTCACTCTCCTCCACACCCCAGAAAGAAGTGAGGACTCAGCTAAAAGAGAATAGTAGTCTTTAGTACATTGAGCTACAGTTATTCTGAATTATTTCAATCTTTTTGAGAAGTAGTTGATATAGAAATGTTTCAAAGCTGTGCATACCAAAATTGTGAGCAGATGGATTACATGGATCCACAGCCATCATAGGCATAAAACTTTTTCACAAGAAATAATTCATTTTTTAAAATACATGATAAGCAAGAGGCCATACAATCATATATCTTCATTAGGTTGCACTATACAACTTTCCATAAGGCTTTATCAGTGGAGAATATTCTTAATCAGCAACAGTCTTTCTTTCTTTCTTTCTTTCTTTCTTTCTTTCTTTCTTTCTTTCTTCTGACATCAAAGAACATAAGTGTGTGATACAAGGGGAAATGGGCTTTGCGTACAGTACATGTTTAAACCAAATATGCATTTAATTGCCATAGAACTCAACCAAGGAACCTAAGGAGCTCCAATTGAGTGGAAGGGCTAGAGGCAGAACTGGCTCTCACAGAACTACACAAGATTCTTCGGGAAAGTTCTGACAGCTAAACCAGTTGAAACATGTTAAAATTTACTGTATGGGGTGGGTGGCCTTCATGTCCACTGCTGCATTCACAGCATTAGAAAGCACAAACCATCAGATTTGATCTGAGACAGTCCTTTTACACACCGTGGCTTGTTCAAACACAGATGCATGTAAGATGTGTGAACTGGTCCCAGATCTCTCCACATTAATTATGGGCAAAGTTCAACAGATCTATGTGACACAAATCCCTGAAGCATGACTTATTGCCATATCTGCCCTCAGATTGCCTTAACAGAGAAAATGGTATAGATTGGGCAAATCTGTGCTTTAAAGAAATGCATACTTTGGGACTGTGTCATTCTGCCACCATCTCCGCAGATGGGACTAGACAATCTCTTGCTTTGTGCCTTCCTTCTTGAGAGAAAACTGCTTCACAAGTATCCTTCACAACTGGGTTTCAGTGGGAGATTAAAAGGAGAAGGAAACATGTGTTAATTAATATGCCACATATCACCTAACTGATAGAATAATTCCTGGATCAAATGCATTTGCTAAAACTGTAGTAATATATCTGCAATGGCCTACAGAGAAGAAACAGAACAAACCTGTAAAATCTGGTCCTAATTCCCTATTATATGTCTACATACATACAGCATACAGCAATATGTCACAGGTAGAACAGATGTGGCACGATGACCTCAGGTCAGCAGAGTCATAACAAAGCTAAATGGAATGATCTCCCTTCAGATTTGAGCAAGAAAATAAATAAGGCTTCCTGTGCTTTACAATCTTCCTCTCTGACAATGACAAGAATGATGAATACTTTTTATGTTGCTGATAAGTTCTGTACACAATCATTATCACATGCCCATGTCAGGCATACATTTCAAAGTGCTGGCACAAGTTGATGGGCAACTGAAAACAGGCAAGGTGGACTTCCCTCAGGTGCTTCCTAGACCCTGGGTTTCTTGCTCTTTAAGGGTGAATCTATTATACCACAAAACTGTATCACTTTTAAAACTCATTTAATAGTTGGGGTTTCCCCCAAAGATTCCTGGGAACTGTGCCTTGGTGGAGTTGGGGAGAATTTCTTGTTAGGGCTGCTCCAGCATTACCTTGTGCAGTGTGGGAATGCTGGGTGTTCCATATCACATGGGAAGAGCTCTGGCCTTAAAGCACCTGTATTGTCCTATGTAGGAAGTGGAGCTATACTGGTATAGGAAGGAGCTGTGGAATGATTTCCTCCCATGTAGCCTCAAAGTTCAGAGCTGCCCAAGTCATGATGAATTAGTTTCCATATTATTGAAGACAACATCAAGTAGGAGCAGGAGTGGGCAAATCATAATCCCTGACCAATTTATTTATTTGGGCAGCCTCTGCCTCTGAATTTGTAGTTTGAATTTGGTGGTGCAGCAGCAAAAAAGGGCCAACTTTTCCCCTGCTGTAAGAACAAGAATTGGGGTCTATCATCTTTGTTTGGAAGAAAAAAAGTGCCCCCTTGTATTGCTACCAAGCCAACAGATTTCAGAGAAAATTGGACAGCACAGGCAACTATGGGGGCAGCAGGGCAACCCTCAGTGGTTTCTAGGGCAGGGAGCGATTTGCCTTGCAGACCCTCAGAAGTTGCTAGCTCCTGCCTCAGACTGCCCTTGCCTCCCCCACAAAACAAACATTTCCCAGAATTTTCTGGGGAGATGGAATGACCATTAAGCTATTTTAAGTCTGTAGTGCAGTCAAACACACCCAAGCTAAAACTTTTAAACACGCATTAAAATGACGATCACTGAAACACTGTGTGAATACCACCCAGCTCTTACTGTGTCCTTTCCAGGAAATGATTTATGCAAGAATGCAAGAGAAGAATGGCCACAGGTGTTAGAGGTTGACCTGCTGTTCTCAGGAGAGAAATATTTACATTCTAAAGGGCTTCTAAAAAAAATATAGAAAAGTGGCCCCTGTTCTGACAGGCATTTTTGAACACCTCTAGCCACAGACAAAGAAGACAGGTGGTTATTAATAAGTGTGACCCAATGGGGAACCTCTTAAATTATGCCCTTCATTTACATGGATGTTAGACAGGGCAAATCATGGTAAATCAATAGCAAATAGCACTTTTCTGAAAATGTGTTTCCAGTATCAGTATTTGTCTGTCCCTTGCTCTTCCAGTTGTGCTGATCTCCTTTTTGATTAAACTAGATGTGCTCAAGAGTCCGTAAAAGAGCTCTCTTCTTCTTGCTGAAAAAGTCTTCGCCAATCCCACCCTGATCCCTTTCCCAAAACCATCTGCTTCCCCCCCTCCATGGCCCCATTTTTAGATAAGCCACTCTTTTTTGCTCTCGTCAATGGTTTCCGTGAAATTGGGGTCATTGTTCATGATGGCCGCATCGGCGCTCTCCGCAGATTCTGCCCCCTTGGCTTCATTGGTGTGGTAGGTTCCCTTGTGGCGGAACATGTAGCGAATGAGGAAGACCAGGGTGCAGAGGATGGTGAAGATCACCACAGCAATGACACCTGGGAGAGAGGGAAGATTTGGCACGTTCAGAAAAAAGAAAGGAAGAAGAGAAAACAAGATCTTCATTCAGCTGGATCATGAGGTTAAGCAAGCATGAAAAATCATTCTTTTTCTAATAGGACTCTCAAATTTGACAGGTGAAATGTTCACCTACTGTCAGGCAGTATCTATCATAACAGGGGACATCTCATTATTTTATTGTTACTATTGATCCTTAGTGTCTGTCTATTAATTGGCAACCAGTTCAGCTGGGTTTGTGCCAACAACAATGTGAAGGATTGTGTATCACATGATGGGATTCATTAGCATACAAATTTCATGACGTTAATTCAAACTATGGTGTAGGCACATCACTTAAGAAAATGAAATGTATAATCTGTAGATGCAACTCTTGCCATTGTCAGTGCATGTTTAAAATCTTTGAATTCATTCTCCTTTTCTTTTCCACACATGCTTTTTCATAGATATAAACAGATACAGGTGTATCACCCACATTATACATACATCCACATACAATCACACTACTGACATGGATTACCCATATACCAATAATACCCATTCATGCTGTTCACCAGCCTATATGCTTACATGCACAATCGAGCAGTTAACCAACACTGCCAGTGCTGCCTAGTCCTTTCTCTGGATCTGTTCACACAACAGGACATGACTGTATTTGAACCAGGCCTTGGTGCTGAGTGGATCTACCTGGCAACCCCCACAAACATCTCACACAAAAGCAGAGACCCAACGCAACACACACACACACACACACAGCATACCAAAACACCCCCCACATAACAGTCAGACACACATCTCCCTAATTTCTACCCCCCATGAAAGATTAGGGGCACCCCTCCCATACACATGCACACTGCAAACAGATGTATCCAGATGTATCCACAAAACCAGGATAATTTTCGCACTAGTTTTCATCTCATGCCTAATTTATTTTTAACTGTATTTTTGCACCTTTTAATGTCATCTTGACTATTGATTTCTCTTTTCTGTAGAAAGGTGACCAATAAATGGTAATAATAATCGCTTCCCCACCATATGCCCTATCCTACTGTTTATATGCCTCAAAAAAAATGGACATCGAACTGAAGCACAGTCATACATAAAACTCCACCAAACAACACAATCAATTTTATAACACCGATAATATGATTTATGTGCTCATGATATCCCAAATGTTAATGGAACCAAGCTTGTATATCAATTTCTGAAATCAGAGCCAGATTTTGAAGATGTTTAGCATTCTAACTATGGTAATGCAGCCATGAATGAAGCACTAACTTAAAGTCCTGACAACTTGGATGTACTGAAAAATCACAGTTTTGCCAATTTCCCCTCAAAGCTCAAAAACTTGACAAAAGAAAATGCAGCTTTTCAGTATTGGCTTTGAGTTCTGTAGCTTCAGTAAATTGAAAAGACCCCTCCCTGCCTCCCGCTGGCTCAAACTACTTGACATAAGAATGTAAGAGCCATGGTGGATCAGACCAAAAGTTTACCTGGTCCAGCATTCTGTTCACACAGTGACCAACCAGCTGTCCACGGGGAAACCCACAAGCACAACAGGCGTGCAAGAGCACTTTTCCTCCTGTGTTCCACAGCAGCTGGTGTACATAAGCATACTGGGCATAATAATATGGCCATTATGACTAGCAGCCATTAATACCTTTATCATCCACTAATTTACCTAATCCTCTTTTAAAGGCACCCAAGCTGGTGGCTGTAACATAATGTTTTGTCAAATCTTCTGTAACTGCCCTCATTTGCGAGTTCAGTAGCAACTGTATTTATTTCAGTTTCTTAGCAGGTGTGTGTGTGTGTGTGAGAGAGGGAGAGGGAGAGGGAGAGGGAGAGGGAGAGGGAGAGAGAGAGAGAGAGAGAGAGAGAGAGAGAGAGAGAGAGAGAGAGAGAGAGAGAGAGAGAGAATAAACCCTATTCTCTTTGCTGGCTTAGCCTTTGACATCAACAACTTGCCTCAAATCCTGCATTAAGCAAAGACCATTGTATCTGGTCCATACTTATGACATTTATACGCATTTATACGACATTTATATTGCCTTACCGCCAATAATTGCTGAATTCCTATTAACACCACCTCCTATCACTTGACCATTGTAAGGGAGATCAGCACCTGTTGGAAAGAGAAAAGCAAAGAGTCCAGTTATAATATAACCTTTGGATGATATTTCATCTTCCATTTGGTGCCCTTATAAATGTCATTGCTTTCCTTTTTTAGCCAACATATACAATTATGAAACAGCTTCTATAATGTCCGTTGGCAACATTGCCTCATATCAGAACTAAAGAAGCATATTCTAGATGCACAGTTAGATATACTGTTGTTAATATTCTTTTCAATACTGAATATTATAAAGTTTTATCTAATTCTACCTACTACATGTACTATTATAAACTGGCAATGTGACATGTAGCAGTTAAAAGGCTAAGAACTAGGAAGTCCTTGATTAAATTCTCACTTCAGCCAAAAGGTCAATAATAGCTGTCTCATGCGTGAGGTATGCCATTATCTGAACCACTCTACACCCCCGTCTCATGTTTTCAGCTGCCATGTGGAAGGCTTGCCCATGTTGACTTCAGGTCAACATGGGGAGGGCCCATTGCTCTGTGGCAGCTGTAATGGTGGCATCTCCAGATAAAAAGAACCTAGACAGCAAGGTCAGGAAATACCTCTACTTGTGTCTTCAGAGAGGTACTGCCAGTCAGTACAGATGAAGGAAAGGGAACCTCTTGCCTTGCCTCAATCCAGCCCATGGATATTCTCCATCTTGCCCATGGAAGCCTTAGGGTCTGTCCAAGCCCTGCATCCCAGACACTACTGGGATCATGGGACAGGGGCAGGAAATTCTTCTGACATTTCCAGTCGCTGAAAGCAGATCACAGGGAGGGAGATTCCTTTCCTCAGGCTCCCCAAAACTCAGGGAAAAGAACCCCCATTATTTCAAATCAATGATGGGAGATAAAAGAGGAGTGGGATTCCCCATGACACACCACCCACCCTCCTAATAGCAAAAGTGAGTGGCATGCTAAGTGTTTCACTTACAGAATACCTTCTCCACTGGGACGAACATAGTGTGAGTGAAGCAGCCCTAACACAAGGTGGCAGCTGCAGCTCTAGCTGGCACTTCATGTTGGCGCAATGAGGATGTACCTAGGTATGGCCATGTCCCAGTTACAAGGCTGATGGAGGGCTGGGCCCCCAGCTATGCTCAGGACCCAGCCCCTTGCTAAAATAAGACAGGGCTAGATGAACTAACAGTCTGTAGGCCCTTCAGTGAAATGAAGCGGAGTGGTGGCCACCTTGGACAGCAGATCCTGCGGGATGACTTGGGGAACAGACATGCATGCTGCATGGCCTCTAAGCTGTGCAGCCTGCCCTGTCCCCCATAACCTACCCTGCTGCCCTCAGGCCATTGTCTCATGCCAACCTTGTAGTAAGATTCAAGTGCCAGTTGATCAACTTCTCTGCAAGGTATGGAGAGAAGAGTCACCTTGTCCACTCTCTTGGGCAGCAAAATGTCTAGGGCTAGCCCCAACATTATGACTGCAAGACAGCTTCATTTATTCAGATGCAATTAATCAATTCCTCCTGGTAACATCTATGTCATGGCAGCAGAGGGAGCTCTCTCCTACGCTGCTGGGAGTTCTAACACCAAAAGTGCATGCTGCATGTTGAAGTAGCTGCACAATGGAAAGTGTGTGAGCTGCAACTATTGTTTCAGTGGATCTGCACAGCTTGAATGTGTATTGACCCTTTCCCTCTGTCTGCAAATATATCCATACACATCCCAATAACACTGTAAGAATGCAAAGAAATTGTGTGAGAGAAAGAACCTCTCTGTGAGTTCTGGAAGTGCTGCAAAATGGGAGATGCCCTCCCCAAAATGAAAGGCATGAAGTGTGAATTAGCAAAGCTGGAGAACTGGTAAACATCTGCAGATCCAGACTTAGGGTAGACTCCAACCAAAGTCCCATTGATTTAAGTAAGCCTGCTCTAAGTACAACTAAATCTGTATCTAGCCCATGTTTTTAAACCTAAAAGAAAGAAGAGTCTGACATTGGAAAAGCAGCAAAGCAGTAGCCACAAGGGGGACATGCTGGTTAACTACATGGGTAACACTGCATTGAAATGAATATATAGTCTCATGAGATGCTAATAATCTTCATATTAAGAAAAGAACTAGAGTGAGCCAAAAGCATGCTCTTCTGCACTGGAAGGAGAAGAAATTGCCTTCCATGCAGTGGAGTAATGATTTGCACTCTCTGTCTTTATTTGAAATGGCAGTCTATAGAACAGAGGGATGGCAAATACAACAACATACTGGGTTAATCCATGCTAGAAAACATTTCATTTGTAAGTTACTGCTGCAACAGTGTTTTTTGTTGCTGCTCTGGGGGAACATATTAATAAATAAAGCATAGAATCAACAATTGATGCAACTGAATCCCAAACAAAACATGGATCATGGTTTAATTCTGGGAGAAGTTGGATGAGAGTTCATGATAATAAAATGCATTTTATCATTTCTTTAGAGAATGAGCACATACCACAAGCTACATTATAGTGCACCAATCTCATCATAGTGCTGATATTTTGCCCACAAGATAAAAGGTAAAGGTTTCCCCATGACATTAAAGTCCAGTCATGCCTGACTCTAGGGGGCGGTGCTCATCTCCGTTTCCTAGCCGAGGGAGCCAGCATTTGTCTGCAGACAATTTCCATGGTCATGCACGGAACGCTGTTACCTTCCCACCAAAGTGGTACCTTTTTATCTACTTATATTTGTATGCTTTTGAACTGCAAGGTTGGCGGGAGCTGGGACAGAGTACGGGAGCTCACCCCATCTGTGGATATGAACTGTTGACCTTTCAATCAACCAGCCCAGCAGCTCAGCGGTTTAGCCCACTGTGCCAAGGAAGAGAGGAAAAATCCTGCTCTTCTTGACAATTTAAAGCAGTTAACAATTCACAATGTTAAAACACCACAGCTACATTAAAAACATTAACAACACCCAGCAGTAAAAAGTGTACAGATACAGGAAAATACATAGAGGGAATGAACAGATCCCACCCTCCCCAGCTTGTCTGACAGGGTGGTTTTAATTCCTTAGTGCAAGGTCAGAGGCAGTGCTCTGATCTCAGACATCAAATCAGAGCTCCAAATCCCCTCACCTGCCCCTTTGCAGAAAGAATAGCACTAACTGCTCTCCAAGGTTGGGAAACAACCTCAGAAAATGGTTAGGGGGGCCTTTTGGCAGACAGGGAAGGGAGGGGGCAGGAACAGCCAAGTATCCTGAAGCTGCTAAAGCTGCCTTCCCTCCCACCCCCAAGGTGGTGTCAATACATGGTCAAAAATATCATCACTGCCTCTGCCACTTTTCCCACTGTGCATGGGCTGGACATACAGGCTGCTGTTCAACTGGCTTATTTATTTATTTATTTATTTATTTTATTTAAAGTTTTTATATGCCGTCCTCATTGCTACATAGCCTCGGGATGGCTCACATCAACAAATAAATAAAACAATAGAATTACAATTACAATTAAAACTTGGAAACCCACTGGCTGCACAATTAAAACTATAAATATTAAAGATTATTAAAATACTGTTTGAATAAAAAGGTCTTGGCCTGGCGCTGAAAAACAAATAATGAAGGTGCCAGGCGGACCTCTCTGGGGAGCGCATTCCACAGATGGGGCGCCACTGCAGAGAAAGCCCTTCTCCAGGTACTTTGCTTCCTAATGTCTCTCACAGAGGGCTCCCGGAGGAGAGCCTCTGCTGCCGATCTCAAGGGGCAGGAGGGCAAGTATGGCTGCAGGCATTCCTTCAGGTATCTGGGTCCCAAGCCGTTAAGGGCTTTATAAGTAATTACCAACACCTTGAATTGAGCCCGGACTTCGATAGGAAGCCAGTGAAGCTGGTAGAGGACTGGGGTTATATGAGAATAACGCCCAGTCCTCGTCAGCAACCTGGCTGCTCTGTTTTGCACCATCTGAAGTATCCAGACTGTCTTCAAGAGCAGCCCCACGTAGAGCGCGTTGCAGAAATCCAACTGGGAAGTAACCAATGCATGCGTCACTGTCGCTAGGCAGTCATCCTCCAGGCTTGTGCCCTTTGCAACTGAACTGCAGACATATTATATATATGTTACATATAGAATCAAAGAGGCAGATGTAACATTAACATGTGGATTACCTCCATTATTTACTGCTTGAAAACTGGGGAAATGTTTGACCAATTTAAACTTTGCTACAGGCCAGAAAAAAAATATCCCAATGGGCTGTTTTAGCCTAAAGGCCATCAGTTGTCTATCTGCACGCTGGATAGACCCTCCACCTAAGTAAGAATATATCTCATAGCACATAAATTTTTCACTGTAGCATCATTAGGATTCACCACAGTGAAGTGATAGCAAGATAAAAGGAGGCAAGAGAAACTGATCTTCTGTTCTGGAAACAAGAAAACTAATAAGATGACGGGCACAGAATGAAAAATATGGGGTATCAGATCTAACTCTTTCTCTGGCTAGATTAAAATCACTAGCAAAAGTTGTTCAGAGAGGAACATAAAATTGGAACACATGTTTCTGAGTCATCCTCCATCTTTCCATTATCTTTTCCTTCCTTGACTAGCGACCCTTGTCTCTTTTTGCCCAATTTGACTGGTGTTACATGCTCAACCAATCCTTGGTCTGATGCAGCTAACAAAACATGGCATGTGAAGCTTCTTCCGAAAGCTTGTAGCAGATAAGATCAGCTTATTTGAAATCATATTTGTAGCATTGCAGGCAAAGGAGAGAACCGCATTTATTATTTCCCCTCTTCTTTGTTCAGTTAGAAAACAACTTGCATGTACGATAAGTGCATTGTATTCTGGCTGCCAGTTTCATTAACTTCTCAAACAGCCATCTAAATGATAACAGCTTCCAGATTTAATTGCTTGGCTCATACTTCTCATTATTAGTTGCCTTAATATTTCTGTTATCTTTCTTGTCTAGCCACTTGTTTATTGCTGCATTTGAATCTGGCTTTTCTTCCAAGGAGCTCAGAGTAGTATCCGTCAGAATGATATATATCCCAAGGCGGTTATCCCATTTGATCCTAACAATAATCTTGGGAACAAAGTTAAATTGAAAGAGGCCGTGGTCAGGTTTGCAAGGTCACAGAGAGAAAATAAGCCACAGTGGCTTATTTTACCTGCCAATATATGCCAGTTGCAAGCCACCTAAAGTATACAATTGCCCTCACTGCATGCAGGTTGTTGTGCTGTCCAAACCCAGAGAGGGTGGGCAGTGGGATGGCTTGTTAACTGCCTGCTGCTGATGCACACAGCCAGGCTGCCTCCCTGACTGCCACTGAAAAAGTGTCATCAATCAGGACATGCAGGGCTTATACCAGACAGTTGCTGCCGGTAGCCAACCCTCCTATAAAAGCAACCCCTTGGCTGTTGGCTGAAGATAAGGTAGCCTAACATGGGGCAGTGGCTGTCCTTCTGCTTCTTCCTCAGCCTAGTTAGGATTACAAAAGCTCATGCCTCTGAAATGCTTCCATTATAAATGGCATTGCCTAATTTCCTTCAACTCTCTTTACTTAAGTGAAACAAATGGTGCTCAAGCATAGATAAATGTTTCCTAACTTTGAAACAACAGTGGATCAGAGAAGAAAGATAGCTCAACTTCTTTGGAAAGACAGCATATTTTTCTTCATGAAATAAATTACCTTTCATGTATAGGTTTATAATGGCAGAATGCACAGTGCATGGTAATAAATAATAGTTTGGCAGATGATACGTTCTCACCAAAATGACACATTAATTCCAATGTAAAACAGCATGCTATTGACCACTGGCAGTGCATTATGTTGTGCTTGAAACTCAACAATTTATGAAGACAACACAGGCATTGATACATAAATTCAACTTTTAATATTTATTATTAGCTGAATGCTAGGGAGAATATCTCCAATGGCAATTCCCATTTTCAAAGGATTGTAAAACGTACACCTTGGTACTGCAACATATAGCAATATTCATCTCCCTTCAAGAAAAACCAGCTACATTGCATTACAGTGCTTTTACGATGGCATTTATTTCCATTATTTATTGAATGGATTTGTGCCCTGCCATTCCATCAAAAAGATGGCACTTATGACAGCTTACAGTTATAACTGGTTAAAACAATAAAACCCTAAATTAAGATATAATTACAAAAATAAAAATTACAGAAATAATTTTAAAAATCAAGGATCAAAAGCAACACTTGCTTGATCTGCTTACACACCGAAGACCTGCTTGAATACAGTGGTCTTTGCTTGCCAGTAGGACAAACAGAAAACAGGGGGGAACTTAGCCTCCCTTAGGGAGGCACTCCACAGTTTTGGAACAGCCACCAAAAAGGCCCCCTCTCTCAAGTCGTCTCTGAAGGTAGAGGTCTTGAAAGAAGGATATTTTCAGAAGACTGTAAGAGCCAGGCAGACTTGTATGGGAGGAAGTGGTCTTCCAAGTAGCCTGGCTTCAAGCCGTATAGTGCTTTGCAGGTCCTAATTAGCACTTTGGATTATGGGTGGCCAAATGGGTAGCCAGTGAAGCTGTAGTAACAAGGAGTCACATGTTCTCTATGACTCTGGTCCACGGTCTGGTTGCAGCATTCTGGACCAGCTGATGTTTCTGCACAGTTCTCAAAGGCAGCCCTCTATTGAGCGTGTTGCAGAAGCAGGCATGTCTATTGATGGCAGCTTCAGTTCAACACATCTGGAGGGCAAAAGGTTGGGGAGGGCTACCCAAGAGGATTTGTGATATTTTACAAGGTGAAATATGCAACAGATGACATGAAAACCACTCCCTGTTCTGGCGCACCCAATTTTAAGTTGTGCTTCAAGGGACTGCCATAAATTTGAAACTAAACCAGATATGGAGGCAGGTTAAGGACTTCCTCTGTAAGCCGGCATTTAATCTTTAATCTGCTGCTTGCTTATTAATTTTACTGGGGACTACTCAATTTTTACTATCGTAAACTTCCCTGGGGGCATTTGCCACTTGGGCAGTATGCAAAGCTAACAAATAAAGAAATCGGTACATGAAAACATGTGCAGCCTGCTTTTAGAACAAGCAACAAAACATTAGGGCTTGTTAATGTAATATGGCAGACTAGTCAGTATTTATTACCTTCCCCCTCTCAGCAGGACTGTTAACCCTTCCCCTGGCCCTGCTTACTCTGTGTCAGAGCAGTGATTTATATTTTTGAACGGGAAACAAGAATAATCACAAGCTTAAGGGGTGGTAAATTTTTCATAAGCAGGGCATAATAGCCATGACTCCCTTTTCTCCTTCCAGATCATGGGTCCTCAAACTAAGGTCTGTGGGCCGGATCCAGCCCGCCAAGCCGATTCAACTGGCCCGCCCCACAGGTGTTACACTCACTGGGTGCCCACGTGGCTTGCTCACAAGGAGGTCGTTTTGGACTAGCTTGGAGAAAACAATCTCCTTGTGAGCAAGCTGGTGCCTCGCCATGTGCGCCCGGTGGCAGCTTGCTCATGAGGAGATAGTTTTGGACTCGATCAGAGAAAATGATCTCCTTATGAGCAAGCCGACGCCTTGCCCCACATGCCCCCCGTCCCCACCTCGCCTGCCCCCTCACCGGCCCATACCCCCCCCCCCCCCCGCTGGCACCACCTTGGTGGACCGCGCCCACTGCTGGCACCTGTCAACTGGCCCCAATTAAAAAGTTTGAGGACCCATGTTCCAGATGTTCCTCCTGGCTATGCAAAAATTCCTTCCTCAAACAAGCACAAGCTGATTTAAGTGGATAGTTTGCCATTCCTAAATGAATGCTCCAAGCAGTCTTGTGCCTTGAGGTTCAAAATACATCAGGCAAACATTTTTATTTTCAAGTTTAGGTTCAAAATGGAGATATTAGGAGAACAAAAACCAAACCACAAGGGCATGGTGCTTTTGCTTTTCAGGCATCTCATGCCTGAGCATGCATCAACTTGAGCCCACAAACACCTCCCTGGGACCCCACAAGGCTCTTGCCTCTCTGCATTTGTGAAAACACTTAAAGATTTCTTTGCAATTTTAAAAAAATAAGTGGGTAACCAGCATGCTGCAAAGTGAAATGCCTGCTTCTAGTACTGGACTATACTGATTTTCTAGAATCCCGCTGGGCTCCCAGTGAACCTCAGATGCATTATTAGAAAATAAAAATAGTGGATGGCTGCTGCTGAGTGCTTAGTTCTGCATTGTGATTGACTGTTCAGGAAAAAAGAAAAAATGTCAGATGGTAGTAGCAGCAGTGAGTATCCTGGTGGAGAGAGTGGTGGTGGAGCGAGAGAGGGGCTGTTCTGTCCATAGTGTGTATCTTTGTGTGTATGGAGGGAGTGTGGGGATACCTTTTTCTAAGCTGTTGCATTTGCTGGTTGGTTAGTTCATTTTGGTATGGTGCCAATTAATTAATTAATTCTAAAATATACAGGCTGCTGAATACCCAACAGGGCTCGCTCGCTCGCTCGCTCGCTCTCTCTCTGTGTGTGTGTGTGTGTGTGTGTGTGTGTTTTGCCTTGGTTTTGTGCATATGCATGCACACATTTTGTCAGTTTGGGTATGCACATGCCTATGTGTTTGGGTCTTTTGTGTATGCATAGCTGTGTGTGTTTCTTGGAGCATTTACCAGTTTGCTTTCTCTGAAATAGTGTTGTGCTTTGTAAGGAAAATATGCGATTTGGCTGCATATTCAGTTTCTGAGCCTCATCTGTGAAATGGTTGTTAGAGTGGAACACTGTGGGTTCAGAAGAGTGGCTTTATGTTTTAGAACTCAGACCCCTCATCTGCCTTACATGTAGATTCTTCGTAGGGTCGGCTCTCTCATGAGACAGGGTGAATCCCCTGCCCCAGGCAGCAGATCTGGAAGGCAATGAACCTCACACATCAGAACCTGCTACCCTGAGGGTGATAGGTCCCGATGCTCCCAATGCCCCATGCTTCTCAAAGTGAAACGCTCAGCAGGTTGCCACTGGGAGAGTCCAGCTAGCCACTCTCCTGCTGTGGCAAATGCTGCCACAAGTGAATTATTACTACATCGCATTTATACCCCCACCTTTCATCTTCTTTCAAGGAACCAAAGGTGGCTTACAAAGTCCTCCTTTTCTCCATTTCATTATCCCAGCAATCCTGTGAGGTGGGTGAGGGTGAGAGTCAGTGACTGGCCCAAAGTCACCCAGCAAACTTCATGGTTGAGTGGTACCAGAGCCCAGACCTCCTGAGTCCTAGTCCAGCACGCCAACCAGTACACCACCCCGACTTTTTGCTGTCGCAGCTCTCCAGAGCACCTCCTGCTGCCAGCTACCTATGTCTCAATCTGGCAGCTCCTGAGAGTTCTGCCGGAAGGATGGGAACCTGCCAAACAGTTGGGTACCACATTCCCTTTACATCAATGTAAGGGAAAGAGAGAGGGCTTGAAATTGGGAGATGGATATTTAAAGAAGGGACAGGGGATATCCCTAATGGGGCTGGCCCCACAGATTTGCAATAGCTACTGCCTTAGCAGCCAGCCCCCATGTAGTAGCTGGTCATTTACCCCTGTGCTTGCCCATCAAAGTTTCCAACCCATTTTATAGGGTGGTGCTCTCATGCTTGTGTTAACATTTCTCAACAGGCCCAGACCTTGCTGCTTTCCTAGCTTGACCCCAGAGGAATATCGCCATTGGCTGTGCCTGCCTAAGTTATTGCCTCCATGAAAGTTTTATGAGCAGGGCTTACATTTCACCTGTTAAAGAAAAGCAAGACCCCTTTGTAATTAACGGGGAATATAGAACTACCAGTGCTCTCGAAGGAATGGTGAAGCTGAGCACTCATCAAGCCCTGAGCATAAAGTTATACAGTCATCAGTAATGGACACAATGGATCACCTGTATGAAACTACTCTGGGAACAGGGAAAATGCTTTTATGGGAAGGCTGTGCACATCAATCTATTCTCATGACAAGTTTCCCATTTTATTTGTTCATAAGATGCACGCAGAGGAGGAGCAGCTCCCTTCTCTCATCGAGCATAGCTGCATTTACACACAGGCCCACCAGTGGAAAACACAACAGTTTTCTTCATACAGAGTGCCCTGTGGGTACAGCTCTGTATGTATGAAGAGCTGACAAGAACAGCTTGAGAGCACAGGTTTCTTTTTACAAAGGGAAGAGGAATGCAGGAACAAGACTGACTCAATTTCATTTCACGCCTGATGCAGGGCAAATCCAGTTGGCCACCAAGGATTTACTCCGGGGTTCTCAAACTTTTTCAACGGGGGGCCAGTTCACTGTCCCTCAGACTGTTAAGGGGCAGGACTACACATTAAAAAATTAATTAAATTAAAACTCATTTAAAATTAAAATACATTTAAAAATTAATTAACATTTAAAATTAATTAAAAATTAAAAAATGTTTTATCGCTTGCTCGGAGAAGGCCGCGGCAGAGGCACAGTGGTGGCGGTGGCTTGCTTCCTCGGAAACTACCCGCTGGCCTAGTTTGAGGACCTATGATTTACTCACTAAGGAGTGGCAGGCAGCAGAGGGATTTGGCTTCCCTTCCATCCAATTATGTTATGATGCACCGCAGTGCAAGCAGGCAGTATCATCTGTTCCTAAAGACTGTGAGAAATGAAATATTACTGTTACTAAGTGGTAAGGTGAAAACCCAAGAAAGGGTGACATACAGGGCTAGGGTAGGATCATTGAAGTCCCTTAAGGCCAAAAGGCCTGAGGATAGAACCATGTAAATAGTTGTACTAAAAGTAATAGTGTTTCTTACATCAAAGTCCTGAAAAATGCCAGAGAGGGTAAAAATTGGGGGACAGTGGTAAAACTGTCACCTTCAGTGGAAGAGAACAGGAAATTGATTACCTTTTTATAACTGGCTGTAATGAGCCTGGAAGAAGGCCTGTTCTTCCTATCTCATCCTCCCACAAGATCTAAGAAGCAAGTTGGCATCAAGTAAGAATCTGCAAGGCCACTCTGACCTGTTGAACTTTTAGAAGATACTGCGCATGCTTAATAGGTGCATGGATAGTAACTGACACACCTCTCATAGGTAATGGGCTCATTAGCATGAACATGGGATGTATGTGTGGGAGGGGGAGCATATCAAGAGACAGTATGAAGTAGGCGGATGGAGAAGATTGTACCTTCTGAGTAGCCCAGCCAATGGGGGAAAAGAGGAAGGGTCTGTGAGCCGGCAAAAGGGGATAAAAAGCAATGTTTCGTGTGTAAACAGTGCGCTACCTGAGTG